GGGGGGGGGGGGGGGGGGGGGGGGGGGTGACAGGGACAGCCAGGGATTACATTGCTGCCGTTCTGTCAGCATCTACTTTTCTCATATTTTATTCTTTTTTGATAACTCATTCTAAGGGGTAGTTCAAGGAAATGCCAGACAGACAGCTTTGCATGAATCATTTTATTAAGACAAAGATTTATTGAATTAATAAATGAAATAGTCGTCACATGCCCTTTTATAGGTAATTTACAGTAGGCACTTTGAGATAAATGTTGAAACTGAGCCACCACGTTGCCTTTTGTAATTGCGCATTAAATGACAGCAGCAAAGTGTATCATTTCATGGTAAATTTAGTGTAGTGAAATCTTAGAGTTCGTTTGTGTGGGAAAGAGACTTTCTCCACACAGCAATGTGCACAGTCCCCCTTGTATTCAGTCCACGGTGCTTCCCTGTAGGTACTGCCCAACATGCAAGAATGACACCAGCGAGGTGGTGAAGGCCGGGGAGAAGTTGAAGGCCAGCAAGAAGAGGGCCAAGATGCCATCAGCACACACTGAGAGCCAGAGAGACTGGGGGAAGGTGAGGGCTACCTGGGGCTTGCTGGGGGCTAACGGGGGCTAACGGGGGCCGGATACTGTGGAAGCTGCCAATCGGGTGAATTGAAGCTGGTTCCTTTAGAGCTGTGTTTCTTAACCCGGTCCGCGGGGACCCCAAGAGGGTCCGTGTTTTTGCTTCCTCCCAGCTCCCTGCCAGACAGTCCACAGTCCAAACATTTCGCAACAAAATCACAGGTAGTAGGAGCCATCGCAGGCAGCAGGGTAGGCAGAATTTCATGGGTTTTTTTGGGTCTCCCAAGCAGCACATGCCAAGATCTACACCTGATTCTGTTTCAAGACAAATCTCACCAAATTGAAGCAGCAGATGTAGGTGTCTGTAGGGCCCCATAGACCTGCTCAGGAAACACTGCTTTAGAAGGACAACAGGGGCAGGTGTGTGGATCTGCAGGTTGCTCATGATCGTATGTTCAGATCCCATGTTAATCCCCCACCCCTGTTAATCCAGGAACTGTCTGACCCTGCTTTCTCAAATGTCACTTTGGATATAAGCCTCTGTAAATAAAATAAATGCAAATTTAAGTGGTTTGGGGGTGGGGGGAGTCGGTGTATGTGTGTTTCTCACAGCCATCAAGATTCTGTTGTTTGTTGATATAAATTCCTTTAGTTGTACCAGCTGTTTCAGTGGAGTGACAAGTGGCGTGCAGTTGAATAGAAACTACACGTTATAATTAATAGTGTAATAGACTGAGTTTGCTGCAGTAATTGAGTGCTGTGGCAAAGCTCGACAGTAAGTACACGGGTCTTTGAGGGACTGACATTTGCATTAGTCAGCTAAAACTGTAAACAGAACCAATGAAGACAAGATCAGAGTCCCAGTTCTGCCAGTGGGGAGAGCAATTTGTTCCTCGGGTTTGGTCAAGGTTGCAGACCACAGATCTTTTTTGTAGATCAAACCGGAAAGCGAAACACAGTCGTTGGTTGAATGAATCATTACAGCGGTAATGTTGTTTGGGTGTGTGGGTCTGTGTTATACTGTACCAGCCCAAGCTGAGGGGCTGGGGGGGGTTCGGGAATACTGGAGATGTTGCTTGTAAGATGAGTGGTCTGCTGTAAACTGCAAGCAGCTGCATTTAACTGCACTGATTTATTATCTGTGAAGCATTGGCTTAGTACGCGTGACGAAGCACTCGATGAGGCGCCGTGACTCTGGGACGTTTTCTCACCCCTTTCTCGCATCCTGGGTTTTTTTTTCCCCAGGAAATTTGGCTTCTAAGAGCACACATCTATACAGTAGCTGACAACAAAAGAGCCCCCTGCAACCCCCAAAACCTCCAAAAAAGGGTTTGGCTGGGCTGTCAGCTTTTTTTTTGTTATGTGCAGGAATGCTAGGCCGAGCTGTGAGCCTTGGTTCAAGGGTTCAATACTACAGATTATTGAGGATTAAGAATGAATACGTCTCCCTTTCTATCACTGATATCCTACTGTATATCAGTGTTTCTCAAACCGGTCCTTGGGAACCCCCAGACAGGCCACATAGACTGACGGGGGGGGGTCCTCAAGGACCGTTTCGGGAAACACCATTCTGCATTAAGATGCAACAGCAGCATATGTCTGACATTATTGTGTGTGCTGCAGGGAATGGCCTGTGTGGGGCGCACTAAGGAATGCACCATCGTCCCATCCAACCACTACGGGCCCATACCAGGTGTGCCTGTGGGAACCACATGGAAGTTTCGAGTGCAGGTTAGACCAGTTCCACCCCAAGCTTGGGGGTTACCTTCATGCAGATGCGAGGCTGAGAGCTAGCCAGCACCTACAGCATATGCTACATGCTTTGGCTTTACCAGAGGTGGAAAGTTCAGGTCCAGAAAGTACAAATCCAGACCAAGATTTTGTTTCAACCAACCAGTTGAGTACTCTGTAAATGTGACTCTTTATACTCAACTGGTTGGTTGAAGCAAAATCTTGGTCTGGATTTGTAATTTCTGGACTAGAACTTTCCACCTCTGCTCTTTACCTCCAGGTGAGTGAGGCTGGGGTCCACAGGCCCCACGTGGGCGGCATCCATGGCAGGAGTAACGATGGCTCCTACTCGCTGGTGCTGGCTGGAGGCTTTGAAGATGAAGTGGTAGGTGTCCATCAGCTCTGGGCAGGTCAGGCCGCCATCCCTCCCCATTCTGTCCTCTCTGGTTCTGTAGCACATCCTATTTTCTGATTTAAATATACAGCTCTGGAAAAAAGTAAGAGACCACTTGATATTTTTTAAAGATTTTTAACAAGCATTTTTAATCCTGGTTCTGCTGGCAGAAGGCTACACGGTCAGACAGGATGCTTCCTGGCTCAAAGTTTCCATGACAGCAATACACAAGAATAAGGTGAAGCAGGAGACAGTGGGAATGACTAAAAACCAGCCAGGTAGAGGGCAGAAGCAACTTTCTAATGTCAGAGATGACTGTCGACTTACCCAACAGTGCCTCATGAATCGGAGAATGAGATCAAGTGACCTTCAAAAACAATGGGAAACATTAAGTGTAGGTGTGAAGTGCACTGCTAGGACAGTTCATATCAGGCTCCTAGAAGCAGGACTGAAGACCCACAAAGCAAGGAAGAAGCCCTTCATCAGTGAGAAGCAGGGATGAGCCAAGCTGGAGTTTGTATAAAAAGATTTATATTTTACACAGACACATTCCCATAACCTGAAAAATGAGTGAAAATGAACATTTTACTGTGGTCTCTTATTTTTTTCCAGAGCTGTATAAGTAAATATGGATGCAGTCTTTCCTTTTTACAACTTGACTTGATAGTTCAGTTGTACTCTAGCCTCAAAGATTGTCTTCAGGAACAGAGGCACACAATGTTTATATGTATTATTGTTTTACCATGGTAAAGTGGTCTGATTTAGGTATTTCCCAGGCATTTGTTATGAATATATCTTCAAGTGATCCTAGTTAATAGAGTTAGTACTTCATTATTTCTGTTGTTGTAGCACTGGTATAATATATAGACGCTGTAATCAGTGCATGCTCCTTACCTAATAAATACCTCTGTACGTCGCACATTAATAGAAATTCAGCCGGGTTTTCAATTTCTGAAAAGAATAAATGATACCTGTGCGAGTCTGAGCCTGAAGTCAGTCTGCAGTGTCCTCCTCGTTAACTTGACATTCGCTATCACAGACTGCTGGCCTCAACAGGGATGGAAAACGGGGGGTCACCCCCTTTCGAGTATCGCCCCCCATCCCCCCCCCCCCCCCCCCCCCCCGCCCTACGCCCGTATCGTCTCCTGTTGGGGTCTTGCAGTCTTGGGTGTGCTGCTTATATGCATTTCACACGCTGTGTCTTTGACCGCGGCTGTCTCCGCCTCTGTCTCTGCCCCTCAGGACAGGGGCGACGAGTTCACCTACACGGGGAGCGGGGGGCGCGACCTGTCGGGGAACAAGCGCATTGGGGAGCACTGCTTTGACCAAACTTTGACCCACTATAACAGGTACTCGCATACCTGCTGTAGGATCAGCATCGTGGACCTTCATCCAGCCATTTGGGTAAAAAAGGAATATTGCATTTAAACTAGAATAACACTTGTCTAACCCTTCCTTCCTTCCATTTGTACACAAATTTTAAGAATTAGACTGTAAAATGGTCATAAAACGCTAGCTTGGGTCATTTGTATGTGATTCCATGATTCAGTGTGTGTAACTTTTTGTGGCTAGACACCATCTCTTACTGATTTTTTTTTTTTGTGTGTGGGATCAATAATATCTTTAAATAAATGATTTTAGAAGCTGATCTAAAGGAGTTTTGGATGAGCCTAAAACGACAGATTGTTCCCATTTACGCTGATGATGTCTTGTTAAGGATGCCTTGTTAAATTCATTAACCGGTCGAGTAAATGGCACGACCCGTGTCCCACAGGGCTCTGGCACTCAACTGTGATGCACCTCTCAATGACAAGGACGGGGCAGAGTCCAGGAACTGGAGAGCGGGCAAGCCGGTCCGGGTGGTCCGTAGCTCGAAGGGGCGGCGCATCAGCAAGTATGCCCCCGAAGAAGGGAACCGGTATGACGGCATCTACAAGGTAGGGCACGACCTTACCTGCTGGGTGGAGGCTGAGCCCTAAGCAGACTTTAGCTTGTGAAATACGGCAGCTGTTCCCCTAATGAGCCATCCTGCCTGTACCCTTAGAACACTGACCAGGGTTCGAGTCTCGGTCCCAGCCCTACATTTGGGGAGTTTTCATGTTCTCCCCGTGTCATCGTGGGGTTTCCTCCACTTTACCCCCCCACCAAAACTATTGCCTATGGGTGTGCCTGGTGTGTGTGCCCTGCGATGGTTTGCTGCCCCATCCGGGGTTATTCCCTGCCTGAGACCCCAGCCACCCTGCATAGGAGAAGCGGGTATAGAAAATGGATGGATAAACATTTGCTTGTATGAGGAATTTGACGTGGCGTGTCAGTGCAGTCACAAGAAGTCAAAATAAATAAAAATAGCAAGAATAAGCAAGCATGCGGCAACAAAACACTAGATACAACAGACAATAGTATAAGAGGCTGAAGTTGTGCAAAAGAGCAATAAAAACAAGACAAGACAATAGAGAAATAAATAAAATGAATGGAACCTTTATGTAAATAAATGAGATGCTGGCTGAATTAATGTGCGGGTCCCCTGGAGGTCTGAGTCTGATTAATGAGGTTGATTGGGGAAGGAACATTCTTGGTGACATAAGGTACTAGTCTTGATGGACTTTTGCAAGAAGGGAGTTTTTGGAATCTAGAGTTGCTGGGGCTCAGCCACGATGGAGTGTTTCTCCAGGGTACCCAAGCTACCAGTGGCGCTGCCTTTACCGTCCTGGCCATAGTGATCAGGTCCTGGCCATAGTGATCAGGTCCTGGCCATAGTGATCAGGTCCTGGCCATAGTGATCAGGCCCTGGCCATAGTGATCAGGCCCTGGCCATAGTGATCAGGCCCTGGCCATAGTGATCAGCTTGGCAGTGTGAGCCGGCATATGCAGCCTCACTCGGGTTTTCTCTTCATGGATCACTACTTGTGAAATGCACGTGTGTACTTGTACACAGGTGGTGAAATACTGGCCTGAGATTGGTAAATGTGGCTTCCTGGTTTGGCGGTACCTACTGAGGCGAGACGACGAGGAGCCAGCGCCCTGGACCCCAGAGGGGGCAGAGCGGATCAAGAAGCTGGGGCTGTCTGTGCAGGTAGCTGCTGTCCTGCGTAGCATCGCTCATCCCTGATATAACCATGTATAAACAGAAATGTATGGTGGAGAAAGCAAGCCTTTATATGAAGTAACAGCCTGGCGTGTAAGGGAGGCTCCAGGACCTATGAAGGTCATGTTTATGAGCTTATTCAGAGCTCAGTGCACTGTATGGCAGCATGTGGGAGTATTGGGGAGTATCACAGAGTATGTGGGGGCATGTGGGAGTATTGGGGAGTATCACAGTATGTGGGGGCATGTGGGAGTATTGGGAAGTATCACAGAGTATGTGGGGGCATGTGGGAGTATTGGGGAGTATCAGGGAATATGTGGCAGTATCTGAGATTATATGTGAGTATTTGGGAATATTTGATCCTGTCATCTGTAGAATGTCATGTAAATTCCATAGTATCCAGAAGGTTACCTGGAGGCCATGGCCAATAAGACTAAGAAAGAGGTCCGAAGGGGGACCCGGGGTAGGAGGGGCGGCGGGAGGGGCCGGCCGAGGAAGAACGCCCCAGAGAAGATCGTACAGGATAAGCACAAGGTGGCAGCGGAGGTGGACGAAGACAAAGACAAAGACAAAGACAAAGACGTGAGGGAACGCGAGGCCAAGGCAGCGTGCAACAACAGCGTGAAGAAGCGGAAGGAGACCGGTAGGAAGCTGTGGTGCCGTCCGCATGAGCCCTGCCGCCGCCCGTCACCGGGACCGTAATGCTGCGAGCTGTTAATCCGTCATGTCGTTCTTTGATTGCTGTGCTCTCTTTCTGGAATGGGGGATTTCATTGGAGGTCTGCACCAGTAGGGGGAGCTGCCGTCATTTAATATTACTGTCATATTTCTGTCAGCACTGATTTACAAACAGCACATGCTACAGGAACATTTTTTTAATCTCTTAACCCCCAGTTAGCCACTCAGAACTCTGCTTCACAATGCACTCTCTCTATATTGTAATGTAAAGGTATTTGTTATATGTATCATATCCGGCATTTACATTTGCTCCAGAAAAAAACTGCACTATCCGACACAGTTATCCGCTGCGTCCACGTTTGCAGGTGTGACTTTAATGTGAGCTGTGAATATCGTATGTCTGTAGCCCTTTGCACCGTGTCCAATAGTTGCACTGAGATGCAGTGAATCTAAATTCTACCAACGTGGTTGTGCGACGATAAAAATAATTTTGAATTTATACGTTTGCTGTACAGCCTGTCCTACAGCACGGTTTCTACGCATTCAGGAGCTGGGTGTATGCAGAGGGTATTTAGTAAACCTTAAAATATAAATCAAATATAATAAAAAAAAAATATTAAAAAAATTGCATAAAGTGTATATAGTAATCATGGTAATATTTTTCAAAGCGTTTTTTTATTGGTAAAATGTATCTCATTGTATAATTAACATTATACTTCAGTGATTTATGGCAGCTTTATTTTGTAAATATAAATATCACCAGGAATTTGTAAGCATAATGGCAGATTTCACAACATTTTAATCACAGCTGGTCAGCATGCTAGCTGATGTGGGAACAGTCAGTCCAGGACCTGTACCGTGGAAGGTTATTGATATGGCTGCTATCCGCCATCTAACATGCAGTTTCTAGATCAAACAGTGACACTCGGGGACCTACTTTGTCGCCCCTGGTTCTGTCCCTCCCACAGACCCGGCCCAGAAGCAACCCCCGGTCAAGAGATCGAAAGCATGCGAGTCCTTCCAGCTGTCTGAGCAGCAGCTGGCACTGATCCGTGAGGACACCCCCAACAAGAAGCTGTGGGATGAGGCTCTGGATTGCCTTAAAGAGGGGCCGGTGAGCATGCTTGTCTGCCAAGTGTACTGGGATGGACTGTGACTGATAGATGGGTTTTCGTGAGACACGTGACATGTTACCTTGAGAAATTGCCGGCGCTGTATCCCTAAACACCGTATTTTTTAAAGACACATCAGTACTTAGATTGAAACCCATGGCCACATATGTGAGATACCTGATGAACATCCATCATACTCACTGAGCCACTAAGAGGCTATATGTTCAGTAGTGGATCAAGAGTTTATAAGTGTGAATAGTGTGATTATCTGTAATAAAATTAAAAAAATAAAAGAATAGAGCTGATTTCACTAAATGCATTGTAGCCAAGTACTAAGTTGTTTTTTTCCTCTACAAGAAGCATCATACAAGTATTTTATTATTATTATGATGCTGTAGATTTTAATGTCATTTTTGCAGGCATAATGACACAATAAATTAATTTTGGGACAACTGTCATATTTAGAAATATTATTATGAAATTTGTGAGGTCCTGCAAGCGATCTGTCATGATTCACACCAAGCACCTTGTGAACCATTGTAGTTCGAACAACGGTGGCTTGAACTGACATGGTTCAAACTACTGTGGTACTAACAAAGTACGATGGTTTTGGGAAATAGTATTTCGGACGTAACATAGTACGATGCACCATTAAAGCTAATTTCCGTTATCATGCGGGGAACAACCTAGGGCAGAAACGTGGCACACTGACTTTTTGGAAGGATGACGTCCCGTGACAGTACCAAGCGGAATGTCACCAGCCTTTCCTGTCAGCCACTCATTCTGCTGCTCATGTTTGTTACAGAATATTGCATCACTATGCGCTTAGTTATAAACTTGTCTTAGCAATGGCTGTGGCATAATTAGACAATTCTTCTATTTAAGTGTCCACATACACTTGCCCATATAGTGTACATGCAGTATATTGAAACGCAGTTAACAAAAGACAAATACATACATTTTGACTGATAAATCCAGTGTGCATGTGTGGTTGGTGCGTACCATGTATTTCTGTGGTATATTAATGACTTTTGAATGTAGAATAATACCCCTGCAGGGTGTCTGCACAGGGAGCGTAATGGTGCACTGCTGATGAGATGGACGATTTGTAACTGCAGTTTCATTTATGCCTGAAGTATCTTTATTCTTCTAGAGCAGTGTTTGCCAGTCCGGTCCTTGGGGACCCACAGTTGGTCCATGGTTTTGCTCCCTCCCAGTTCCCTGTCAGACAGTCAACATTTCCCTCCCAGCTGGGAGGGAGCAAAAACCTGGACTGTCTGTTGTTCCTGGAGGACCAGACTGGGAAACACGGTTATAGAGGGTTTAACTAAATGGGCCGTCGCAGTGACCGCTGATGCTGGTGTCGTTGGTGCAGAACTTCCTGCGGAAGGTGGAGCAGATCTTCATGTGTGTCTGCTGCCAGGAGCTAGTGTTCCACCCAGTCACCACGCCCTGCGTCCATAACGTTTGCAAGGTGCCCGGCCCTTTAAGACCATGCAGTATTCCACACCCCATATCTGCCTGATTGCTCTGTTATGGGCACAGCATTGCTTTGTCTCATTCTCATTCTGCAACCCTACCCTGTCCTGGCCCCAGGCGTGCCTGCAGAGGTCATTCCGTGCGGAGGTGTACTCCTGCCCTGCGTGCCGGCATGACCTAGGGAAGGATTACGTCATGCTCCTCAACAAGACCCTCCAGGGGCTCCTGGACCAGTTCTTCCCCGGCTACAGCAAGGGCCGATGAGCTCTCAGGTGCACGTCAATGAGCGACGCACGCCAACAAACGCACGCACGCACAAGCCCCCAACACCCAGCCATCTGTAACTGTCCCTGCCCCCCCATGCCCGGCTCAGTCACCCATCAGCCATCGAGGCCGTGATCACCTAGCCTCATAACCTGCCCTCCTGCTCCTGAATGCTACCTGCTGCTCAAATCGTCTCGTCGGGAGAACGGGGAGAGAGACGAAGCCAGCGCCCTGGGGGGGGAGCCTCAGCACGTAAACCCCCCCCCCCCCCCCATCGCTCACTGTAGCACCACCACACCTGTAACAGGTGCAAAGGGTCAAAGACACTGACCAACCTCAGGGACCAGGATGTGGCTATGGGGATCAGGATCTCTTGTTCTTTTGTGACTCACAAATGTTCCTCATCGCCTTTTAAATGTATGCACAAAACGCTTCCTTTATCCCTACGACCTTGTGTATTTAATCCCAGCCCACGCAGGTCGAGATCTATATAATGGTTATTGTCTTTAAAAGTAAAGCAGCTTTTCTTTCCAAACCTGCTCTTATTGTCACCCCCTGCTGTGGCCGCCTAGTTGCCCTCCCCCAGTGACTGTGCTCCTCTCGCTCTTGCCGCCCCCCCCCCACCAGCCGTATACGTCACGTGGACGCCTCGTCACTCCATCAGTCTTGTGCCGTTTTTATTGCACTTAAAAAAGAAAAAAAAAACCTTGCGTCGAAATTCCTTTTGCGGTTTGTCGATTTTATATATTCCGTTGCATATTCTGTTTTAATGGATCATTAGGCCCCTTGTGTGTGGTGACCTTTTTTGCCTCCATATCACCCCAAGGGCTCGCATCGCTCTGTGCGAGTCACAAATTTTATACATGGTATAATTGATATGAATCTATTAAATATTTTGATTCCAGAAAAGTATTTTGTTCCCGACTGAGTATTTTCTAGGCTTCAGTTTACTGGTAACTGGCCAGCATTGCGGTGGTCTTTTCAATAGAATCCCATTCCTTTTAGAAAAATAAAAATGAATAAATCCTATATGATGCGTTGGATATGGTTTAGTTCTTTTGGCTTGTTATGTTATAAACAAAACAGTGAGGGCTGATATGTGGAGAATGTAAAACTTTCCAGGTCTGACTGGTTTTTCCCCCAGTTATCCCAATCCACCTGCCCTCAAAGCAAACAAGGTCAGCAACTTCGGACAAAGCTCACACCTCACGTACAGCTTTTGAAATGCGATATCTGCTGTTACCATGGTATCATTCATTTTCTCCCACCTCTATTTCTTCCCCAGGTGAAGCATTATTTAGTCACAGAGAAAACTTTAAAACATTTATTTAGTCACAGATTACTTAAATTAGAAAATAGCCCTGCAAGAGTTAGTCATTTCACAGCACAGCAATTAAGACAAACAAATATAAAATTCTATACAAACAAATGTGTAAAAAAAAAAAAAAAAAAATCCAACCTATTGATTCTAGTTTAGTTTTGTGAAGCGGAGGCAATTATTTGTACAACATGGAATGTAAATCTTGGCCACCCACTGCGAACTTCGTGGGAGAGCGAGAGAAGTGAGGGGCCCGGAGAATTCAAACAACTCCGAGCTTTGAGAAGACCGCCAACCCTAACAATCCTGCCGTCACGAGGACGCCCTCTTCTTCTCAAAGGGAGACTCATAAACGTCCATGGGGGGGCAGGTACACAGTAGGTGCTGGTCACCGTAAATGTCATCAATCCTGGCGATCGACGGCCAGAACTTGGATTCTGGCTTCACGAAAGGCTGAGGATTAAAGCAGTGTGAGCAGTTTCATATAGATGGGAGAACCAATAACAAAAAAAACAACATGAGTGTGATGGTGGGGGGGGGGGCTTCTCACCAAGGGGAAGGCGGCACATTCGCGCGTGTACGGCCGGTCCCATTTTGTGGATGATATGCAGGCCAGGGAGTGAGGCGCCATCTATAGGAGATACAGAGTCCTGCAGTTCAGCATCGCATTCACCACCCACAGCATAAGCCGTGTCCCACAGTACAGAACAGATCGATTATAGCATTGTCTTCTTGCCTTATGCCATCTTGAAAACAGGGCATCAGCATGACAAGAAACACCTGTCAGCTTTTCTACAACAATGTATTACAGGTTGGAACTGCAAATAATCCAGTTTATTAATCGCCTTTTCCCTAAACGGCATTTTAATAAAATCTGGTTGGTACTCCCGAAGGGTTCACATCTATTATGCAGTATGTGGCTCTGGTCACAAACGATCCATCTGCACCTTCAGTGGATTGATACGCGAGTCCATCCTGCCGTCCTCTACGTCCGCTATCTCCTGCCTAATCGCCAGCAAGGAGTCACAGAAACGGTCCAACTCTGCCTTGTCCTCAGACTCCGTAGGCTCGATCATCAGGGTCCCAGCTACTGGCCATGACATGGTGGGGGCATGGAAACCTGTCCGACACATGGTGAAGATCAGGCAGAAGACAGGTGCAGTACGGATGCAACCTCCGCTGCTTTGTCCCTCCCCGAGTTGTCGGATAGAACCCACTTTGCTCTTACCATAATCCTGCAGCCTCTTCGCTATGTCCACCGCCTCAATGTTGGCTGTCTTTTTAAAAGGTCTCACATCCAGGATGAACTCATGAGCAACAAATCCTGAGGGTGAACAAAAGTTTAGAACTTTTAGCAGACTGCATTGAATATTATTCATCCTTTGGCCTATAGAGGCCTTCACAGCTCAACAACAACCCTGCTGGACTTCACCCTGTGCAATGGGCTTTTCCATCTCTTGTTGCTCAACTGGAACTCGCCTACTGCCGCTAGATCCCCACCTGTTTAAGACACTATGCAAGTTTATGACAGACTTTGCAAATCTATAAGCAAAATGTCCCCTACGGAAAACAGATAGGGGCTACATACACATTGTCCACTAGTGGTCATCAGATACACAGCCGATTCATATTTTTTTTATTCAGGCAGGCATTGCATATAATGGCACTGTTCATGAAGAATGGGCTTTTAAAATGTATTAATCTGTGCCATGTTAACACCTCTACCCATATGAACAGGCCCATCAGTGATGAGATGGTTGAGATTGCTTACTTCAAGTTGGGATTATCATAATGCTTTGGCTCAGAGTATACAGACCTAGTTACACCATAGTGATATTCAGTTCTGTGGTAAAATGTAGCTGAATTTAGTGAAGTGCATGTTTTACATATAATTTAAGTGCATTTTTATTTAGAGGGTTTATTTAGATATTGGTCAAGATAAATGTTTATTAATAAAATTCCAGAACTCTACTGCTCAAAATTCTTATTTCTCAATGGCCCGTGTTTCAATACAATCCAATGTCGGCCAAACTATCCCCTAATTATCAGTCAGATGTAATTTACAGTAAAAAGAAACCCATTTCAGCTGACCACCATTGTCTATTATTCATATTAGCTTAGTTAAGCAAATGCCATTTAAACAAAGTCATTGTGTCATTTCAACATTGTACTTGTTAAACTGAGAATACCATTCATGGATCATAAAGGGTAAAGCAGACAGCTGAGCATTTTCATTAAGTTTTAGGGAGAAAAAAAGGGCTTCCATTGGAGACGTCACAAACTGAAACCTAACTTTGGACAGCATGCTACAAACAATCAGCAGAAGAACAAAATAACAAGTATTAATCCCAAGACGCACCTCTCGCTCCCCTGAAGAGTATTTTGTAGTTGCTCTCTAGCCGTTTGGCCATGTAGTTCGCATTCAGGATGGCCACTTCCGTCGCATGCCTCAGGCCTTTGGCACCCATCATCTAGTCATGACAAGAGAGCGGAAGGTTAAATGGCAAACCATTTAAAGATGGTACCTGACATGCAGCTTGGTCAGAACTGCTCCCTGTAGCCACATGAAGAGGCTGCAGGGAGTATAGTGGGAAAGACTATATGCTCATAACCTGAAGCTTGGCATTTCAGGTGCCAGATGGGGCCGCTGCTGAAATGCCTCGCCAGGGTACCAAATTACAAGTCAATTCACTAAAAAAAACAATCAGCCAGTACAAGCTGCTCATCTGGGGGTCTCCATCCCCAAGATTCCTTGAAGCTCTGCATTGTAGGAATCTGCCGAGCGGTGCCACGTTTCAGAGGCATTTCAACAATTTAAAGCTGGTCTTTGAATAAGGAGACAAAAGCAAGTGGATGTTTAGCATCAAACAATAGCATCTTGTCATGTTTTACGGTCTTGAGAAAAGTGCTGCACCGTTTTCCCCTGTGAATGAGAACCTAAGGTTTCAGCTTAGATTGAATATCTTCATTCAAAATAAGATCTTTGCATATTCTTTACAAAATGCAGTGTGGCTGTAGAATCAGAAACAATGTGGACTGGTTGCAGAAAACTCATTTTTTTTTAAAATTCAGTACAAAAGTGCTTTAGATACTATGTGCTTAGGCATATAATGTCCTTTTTGGTTAACGTGTTTTGTGAAATAGTTTCTATGCAAGACAGAAAGCTTTACAACCTAATGCAGGTCTAGCACATGAAAGTCCCTTTATCGTATCTTTACTCGTGACAAAAGCAGAACTTACTCCAACCACAAAGCATTCTGTTCACTTTTTATTTTCCCCAGTTGAAACAGAAGCAGGAAATACTGCCCACATTAAATGTGCACTGGCAGTGGTAAAATTGAATAACCAAAGTAAATGATGCCCAACACAGGAATTATGGCGTTTAATAATAATATCCATCATAATTGTTTGTATGTTTTCGTATGCTGTCATTGCTGAAACTAATAGATGAACCACTCTCACTGTTTGGGAGAGGGACTTAAACAGTAACCAGTTTATGCATTTTAGGGAAAAACAGAAGTAGTTTACTTTGCTGGGATTTAATGGTGCACAGTGGACATGCATTGTGTGCCATCTTTTTGCTGGGGTGAACTTATTACAGAACCGCAGGGAGGGATTTTTCACGTTTGTTTTTAAGTCTGATAGCGCAGTTTGACCTGGTATAAATAGAATTAGTTGTATCTAACAATATTATTTACACACTTCCTTCAATTATATCCATATAGCTTGAAAAAAAATAAGTAAAAAAACATTGTACTTATGGATATCGATTATCTGCCCAACCCTAGTACTACTAATGACATATTCTGTACTATCACCTGATTCACTTTGTGTGTGTGGAGCGAGCATAAGTTTCATGTTAATTTTGCTAAGTGACCAATACAGGAAGGGGCGCCTCACCTTGATGTAGGCCCAGGAGATGGGCAGGATGGCGCTGGACCCCCAAGGAGCCGCGCTGATGGTACCCAGGGAGGTGACGGCGTTGTCAGACTTCAAGGTGATCACTGGGTGACTGGGCAAGAATGGAGCCAGGTGCTGCTTCCTGCAAGGGCAGGAAAGGAAAAAAAAATCACCTAAGAATATCCAAAAATAACTAATCAAGCAAAATGTACAAGAGTCAAAGAGGAGAACAGTAGGGGATTCTGTGTAAAGGTCTCACACGCCAATGGGACCCATCCCTGGCCCTCCACCTCCGTGGGGGATGCAGAAGGTTTTGTGGAGATTCAGGTGGGAGACATCAGATCCATAATCACCTGGTCGACACAACCCTACCTATGGAGGTTTGAGGAGAGAGGAAGCACAAGACAAGGTAGAACATCATGAAGAGGTTTCAGGAGGCTGGACCAACCCCAGACATGCCATGATTGTGAGTGATGGGCCTTTGCTAGGGGGCCCTTACCTGTGCATTCATATTGGCCCCATCCAGGTACACCTGACCTCCATGATGGTGAATGAGTTCACACACCTCACCAATGTTCTCCTCAAAAACACCATTAGTTGAGGGGTATGTGATCATGATGGCAGCCAGATTGGCCTTGTGCTTATCCACCTGTGGACAAAGCTCTGATTTTCACAAGGAAATTCTTTTGATTAC